GCCCCGGTGTCCCGGGGCTCGGCGCGGACTCGGGGACGGCTCCGGCCCGGCGAGGGCGTGTGCCGCTGCGGCAAACCCCGTTTCCGCCCATTTGACCCCAAATCCGCCCCTCGGCCGCCGGATCTCCGCTCCCCCCGCCCGTACTTGTGCGATGAGCTCCTCGGGGCAAAGCGGGCCGCCGCGGGGCAGAGCGCCCGGCTCCCCCCTCGTTTCTCGCTGTGCGGGGGCTTCCACGGCTGCGAGCTTTGCAACGAAACCGGGGGGCTACTGCCTCTCCCGCGGCCGCGCGTGGGGACGACGGGGCAAGCACGCGTGTCCGAGCGCGGCTGAGCCGGGGGCGGCGGCGGGGCGGGAGGGAGCTGGCTCCAACCCAACCGCCGGCACGATCGATCCCCGCACCGCAGCCGGGCTCTTCCCCGCGGCTTCCCGTACGCTCTGGTGACCGTGCTTCACAAGCTGCTCCGCCCCACGGACACCCGTGCCCGGGGCGGCTCGGATCCAGCCCAGCTCCCGGTACGGCCCGGTTCCCCGGGCGGCCGAAGGTGCCGGTGCCGGTCGGAGACCCGGTCACGCCACGGTCGCCCCCCCACCCCACCACCGTGTCCCCTTCTCCTGGGCGACCCGAGCATGGCCCCAACGCTGAGACCGCGGGGGGAAGCGGGGGCAGAGCAAGTCGCCCCCCCGGCAGAGCCCCAGCGCCTGCTAGTCCCCGAACCGACCCTACGGCCGGGCCGGACCGGACCTTGTCTCCCGGGAGAGGCATCCCGCAGCCCGGCCGGGCCGTGGGTACCGCCGGGCAGGGCAGAGCGCGCCCTGGAGCCCCATTCCACGCGAGCTCCCTGCGTGCGTGGACACCCCCCCGCACCGTCAGGGCGCCCGGCCCCGGGTTCCCGATCCGCCCCGCCGTTCGGTTCGGCTCCGGGTTTCTCCCGGCCCGGTCCCATTCCCCAGCCGGGCGGGAAAACGATTCCCTCCCCCTGTGGCTGAACGGAGCCGGGACGAGCCTCGGGGTAAATTTACGCCCCCCCCCGGGCCGGTGCCGGGCTGTCCCGGCGGAGCGGGCGCGGACCCGGGGACCCCGCGGCAC